AAATCAAAGGGATGAGCAAACTAAGTGAAATAATATATTAATTTTGTCTCTGAAATGGCAATAGCAACTCCCGTTAAAGCAATTGTAGCAAATCCAGCACCAATTGATTTTCAGTGTCTTTAAAGTATCAAATACATTTATGTTGCATTTGGAGTATCGAATTAGCTTTTCGAGATTGGAATGGAAGAAAATATAATTTAAATTTTGAACTAAATTTTCTTCAATTTCAAAATTAAGACGCAAATTTGGTGCTTTCAAACATAGCACTATGGCACGATATTATTTTATTTTTGTAAATTCTCATTATACTTTTAAAAAGCCACCTTCTTTTTTTTTTACCATATATTTTTAAAAAATTTAAACCATCTACTCTTTCACTTTGAAAAAAAATGAGATACCACTAATGTAGTGGGCTTACCAACAGGCTAGTGACCTAGCGGTACTAGGACTCTACTTCCTAAAGGGAATTAGGGGTTCGATCCTTGATGGAGATATGTGTGTGTGAGTATCAATTAAGATATATATATATATATATATATATATATAGTGGGCTTCATAATATAATTTTAATTGCAAATGCAACCGACATTATTGAGGACTCATACACTATATTTGCTTTGAGAATCAGAGAATGTGCACAGTGCACGCGTACAATATATTACAACATAATTGCAATAATTTGAGAACACAACAATTATAGGTCATTATTATTATTATTATTATTTTCAAATAATCCAAAAGAGCCCTAGAGTTCAAAATTTTCAAATTAAGGTTTCATGGTTCGTCTAAATGTTACTCCGTATTTAGGGGTGGCAAATTAAGACAGGACACGATAACACAACACGAACACGACACAAGTTAAAAGGGTTTGGGTTTGATATAAACGAGTTTGGGTTATAAAAGGGTCGACACGATTAACCCGTTTACTTAATCGTGTCGCGTTAGAGTTGAGGGGTTCAACTCGTGTAACACGTTTATGACCCATCTAACTCAACATGTTATGTGAAAATGACCTATGTAATATGTTACTTGTTTAAACCCAATTACTATGAATAGTTAAGTCATTTCAACATAAACCTTGTCTATGCCTTAAAATTTTTCTTTTTATTTTGAATATTTGGGTTAATTATGACAACTTTTTTCTATTATTTAGTATTTAATTACATATTAAATGTCTCGTATTAATAAACAAGTTATTAAACGGGTTAACACGCTTACCTGTTTAATAAATGGATTGGGTTAGTGTTGAGGATTTTGACACGATTATTAAATGGGTTGGGTTTGGGTTTACCTATTTAGTATAATACCCTTACATTGACACGACACGAACACAACCTACGAACACGAATTGCCACCCTTATCCGTATTGCATTAGCCCTCGTGGTATTCCGTATTGGACTAGCCCTCGTGGTAATAAAATTGCTTAGACTACTTTTTTTTTTTTCTTTATTTATATTTTTATAATTAATTTTGTTTAACGCTGCAATTTGAGGACTATAAAAGTCTTGAAACTACAGCATGTTTTAAATGTTCGGTTTCACGACGGACACAAAAAACTAATGGTAGGCTAGACCATGGACAAAGTCCTCAAAGATGACTAGTTTCTCATTCTTTGGTTGATTGAATAATAATAGTGAATAAAAAAATGTAAAGAACTTTGAGGATATGTTGTCCACTTCTACCCTTCAAAAAAAAAAAAATTGATGTCCACTTCTTTTCTTCCCATTTTAGATGGTAACAATGTTATAAACATTGGGCAAAGGCACCAAAATGGTGTTCTTTTCGTTCCTTTTCTTCTACTAAGTCAATTATTAATGCTAAGAAGGAGGAAAATTAAATAAAATGGATACAAAAAGAGATGAATGAGATTTTTTTTAAAAAGAGATTGTATCATTTTCTCTTGTTGTTTAGTTGAATTGAAACAAAAAAAAAAAATATATATATATATATATATATAATATTTTATTCTGTTTGTTTGAAAAGAATAAATAAGATAAGAGGATGGATCAGAGAAGAGAGGAGAGTATTAATTATAAGGAAAATTTTATAAATTTAAAACTTTTATAATGAAAATTTAATATTTAATATCAACCGACTTCATGATTGGAAGAGAGTAATGCACCTAGTTAGTTAATTCGTGTATAATACGCGAATTAAACGCGTACGTACGAATTTTAAAAAAATACTTCGGTTTGTCGATCAGAGTTGAAAGATACGGTAAAATATCTGTTTTTTTCCATCACCCCTTATGTAACGCGTATATATATATTTGTGGAATACTGTAATCTTGAAGAATCATAAGTTTTTATTGATATTTGTAGATATTTATAGATTTTTTGTTTTGCTGTGAGATCTTTTAAATTTTGTTAATATCTTTATCATTATTATTATTTTAGAAGTTTGTAGATCACCACACTCCTTAGATGTTTTAGTATATCACATTATATACTTATGAATTTTTTTTTTTATGATTATTGTGATACTGTCAATTGTAATATATTTATTTTATTATTTGTTACCTATTTTTTATTGTCCTTACAAATATATATATATATAAGAAAATAATAAGACGTGTATAGTCGAATTTTTAATCCCTAATTTTTAGAGTATATAACGTATTATACACGTACGTATCCGTATTTATATTTTTACGTCTCCGTATTTTTTTGCCGAATTTTTTAAACGTATTTTTAAAAAAATATATCGAATTATACTCGTACGTTTCCATATCCGTATTTTTTCCGTACCGTATTTTACTAACTATGGTAATGCATTCAATAATAGCCAAAAATAAATAAAAATGATGGGTACACTTCATTTATTTTCAGGGTAGTTTGATTTTTCTTTACATATTATCATTATATTGGCATCCAAACACAAGTTTATTAGGAATGAATAAAATATCAATACATGGGTAGAAATGAGATGGCACCCATAAATAATAAATTTCATTAAATCACTTCAACATTGCACAACAATCAAATTAACTCAAACTCACCAATTTGTGATTGAATCCGTGTACTCGAGAGAATGTCGATGGAATATGACCACCGCGAATTGTCTATCAACTTCTATCTGTTGACAAAAAATTTATAGAAATCCAAGATGCTAATTTTTCAACCCATCACATATTTTCACATATTTTTACTTTGGGAGCCTTCAAAATGACAGGAATAAGATTTTGTGTAGTTTGAAAGAGAGAGTGGGAGATGGTTCGACATCCTGCAATTTTGGGTTATGCATTTAAAAGGAGTGAAAATGTGTGTTATCTTTTAATATTTGAATTAGAACGTGAATAGTGTGTTCATGCTATATGAGATTTTTTAATGAAAAATAAATAAAAATAAAATTATTAAGAAATAAAGAAAACTCCTTACACTATTATTATTATTATTATTATTATTTTAAATAATAGATATATAGATATTTAGAATTATACATATAACTCACTGAAATTATATATATATAATTTCTAACCTAAAGCAATTAAAATTAAGTGGGTATTATATAGATATATATATATATATATATATATATATATATAAATATTTAAAATTATACATGTAACTCACTGAAATTATATACTCCAATATTTATAACCTAAAGCAATTTAAATTAAGTGGGTATTAAAAAAAGCGTAACTCCAGCAATTAAATGATAACATATTTAATGAGACTGTTTATGTGTTAAAAAAAAAAAAAAAACTCACTTGTATGACAATCACTAACTCCTAACTCTCGCTTCTAAATGTTCTTTTCATAATTCAATTCGGAGACTTATCTTTATTTGCTCTTTTATTTTTTATTTTTTTGTCCGACCTGTTTTATTTTGTTGGTTTGTTTAAAGACACTTGTAATGTACTTATATAATTAAAATTCTATAGAATATTTTATGATTGAAAGTTTTAAATTCCCCAAAATTAAATGTCCACTCTCCGACCTAACAATGAGGGCGCATGGTGATATATGCTTAAGATTAGTGATAAATAAATTAGATTTAAATGTATCACCATGCATGCGGGATTAATAATTGAAATATTGACTCCATCCGTCCATTTTTAAATGGGATTCCAACTACTCACCATTATGTTTGGCTTTGACTTGAATATATATATATATAATACATTTCAAAACAAGAAAATTAATTCATTTGGTTTCGTATTTCAGCACAAAGCTGTTTATATTTCCCTCTGTAAATTACCTAAAAATGGCAAACCATTGATAAAATTAGCGATACTAAAAGAAGAGATTGTTCCACTTTTATAATTAGCATTTTAACAGAATGGTAGTAGATTGAAATTTGATAAATAAATCAGAAATGAATAAAAATATATAAGTACACATCAATTACTCTTATAAGGAAGTATATATAAGGAAATATGTACGTACACATTATTCTTAGAGATACGCTTGATTTAATTTTAAATGACAAAATTATATCCCACAAAATTTGTGAATTTTGAAATTAGAATGTTTTTGCAGAATAATTATATTATTTAATAATTAAAAAAGGGAGGAAAAACTAATACCTAATCCTACGTTAAAGAACTAAGCCTTATAAAAATTTAATTAGAATAAATAAGTCATACTTTTGATATTAATTTCTAACAAAGTTCCATAGAAATTAGAATATCTCTTTTACCCTTTTTATACATAATATGAGTGAATTGTTGGGTGGTTTTTTTTAATTCAATTATTATTTTTCTTTCTTTTGAACCTTGTTGAAAGATGGATAAAACAAATTTTAATTACTGTTTATATTTCTCTTTTCATTTTCATAAATGGATGAGTTTCATAATATTAAAAAGAATAAAATAAATTTGAATTTATTTGGAAATACGTCAAAAATAGGACTTCCTTGCCCTAACGAAAAATTTATAGCACTTGTTTCGGAAATTTCTTTTCTTACAGCAGTTAGTTGCCCAAAACTATTGGAAATATTTATGACTTGTGCAACAAGTTGAAAGGTTAATATAGTCATTTAAGACAGAAATCTAACATCGCTCCTATAAAGGCTTCCAAAACCAACGCCGATCGATACTCTCAATCTGTTTAGCATACACCGTGGTGACCAAAAAAAAAAAAAAAAAATGGGCAGAAAGTTCTTCGTTGGTGGCAACTGGAAATGCGTATGTCTCTAATTTCAACCTTCTTTAATCTTTTGGTCTCTTAAATTTATATCTATATTTGTTTATGTATTGATTTCTAAAGGTTTTGATAATATTAACCAAATAGATCTCGAACTGTGGATGAGTGTTGTATTTTTAGTCGTTGTCTCAATCATCTAGATTCAACTTCGATTGTCTTTATTGTATGTTGCAGTTGTTTATTTGAATAGGTTTTCAATTATTTTTAGATACGAGAAAATGTATGTTTTCTGTTTTTTTAAGGCTTTCACGATTTCAAGAATGATTTCTGTAGTTATTATTTTGGGACTATCTTTTTCCAACCTGATATGAATGAATAATGATTTTGGTATGCCTGGTATATATGCAGTGAACCATGAACACACTGGAATTAAACTTTCAAGTTCAATCTTATTTGGTATCCCTATCCCTATATTAGAACAATTCCGCCAAGAAAAATTGTTAATCATTCCAATTAAGTAGTCTTGAGCAAGTTAACGGACTTGTTTAACGAATACTTGTGGATTTCAAATGTAAATTGGACTCCACTTGTGATAGTCATCACTTGATTTGAGTAACTGGTTAAGCTGGGAGAGTTCAGTCTGCCTATTATTTCTGTCTCTATGGCGTAACTCTTCCGAGTTCCTACCAAATACCAATATCTTGTTTACTAAATAGCATACCACAGCTCAAACATTTAAGGGGTCTCGTAGTTTTACCTTAGAGATCTGAATGATGACTATCTAGGCTTATGGAATGTTCAGAATTTACTTATCGATCATAATTTAGTTTAGGGAGATGGCATTGACACTCTAGAAAAACCCAAAGTCACTCCACTTCTTGAATTTATATATACAAGTAGTGCATCGTCTCAGTGTGCCATTGTCACGTGGTTGTAGAACAGTGATGTGCGCTGCTATACGTTGCATTTTGTTGAGTAATAGTGCTTTGGACCTATTTCCTTGTGAGGTTTAGAAAAAACTTACTGGACAACCCCATTATCAAGTTACTTGTATATTATCAGCTCACTTATTGTTATATATGCAGAATGGAACAACCGAGGAGGTGAAGAAGATTGTCACCACTTTGAATGAAGCTGAAGTACCTTCAGAGGATGTTGTTGGTACGTTTGAATTAAGGGCAGTTTTCCTTTAACTTATTTTGTTTGGAAACTACTTACTCTGTCATGTATTCTTTTGGGGAACGTGAACCTTATTTTGCATTCTTTCTTACTTTCTTTCGAGTGTTTCTTTTAGTTTTCTGCTGTTAGGTTTTTATATAGATATTCAAGTTTTTGATTTAGATATATATATATTTTTTTCTTGTAGAGGTTGTGGTAAGCCCTCCATTTGTCTTTCTTCCTGTGGTAAAAAGTTTGTTGCGCTCTGATTTCCATGTTGCTGCGCAAAATTGTTGGATTAGGAAAGGAGGTGCTTTTACTGGTGAGATTAGGTATGTTAATGATCTGATCCTATCATCTACTTTTCAATCATTTTCTTGCAAATTTCTTAGAATAATATTATTGTGATAATGAGTTCTGGTGGTGTCATAAAAAAGCTTGCTGAGGAACTTTAATGTTATCTGTAGTCTAATTTTTTTGGTTCAAATTACCACCAAGAGTTGTATCCTAGTGATATTTTTCACCTTCAAAGTCAAGAGTTCAAGTCCCCATGGGAGCAAAGTGGGTGTGTGGTGAGTTTAAATAAAAAAATAAAATAAAAAATAAAAAGAAAAGAAAATTTGTTGTCCAAATTGTCATTATCATTTGTAATAGTTGTTTGAAGATTCATGGAATGTTCTCTCCTTATAATTATGATTTGAAGTTTAAGGTTCCTTCTTGAAAGACTTTTTATTTTAATTGTGAGAATGAACAGGAGCTTACAGCTATGTGGGATGTGTGGGAAAGTGTTAGTATCATAATTTGCAATAAGACTGTTTTTTATTTTTCATCAAAAAATGGTATAGATACTTATCATCATATCAGGGACTGACCTACATTCAAGTCAGTGGGGGCAATTGCCCCCATTGAATTTTTTTTTTAGTAATATACCCTTATAATTTGTTAATTTTCAATTATATACCCTTGATATATTACATTTGCGCCCCCTGAAATTACTAAAAAAATGCACTATTGCCCCCCGAATTTCATTTCCCCCCCACCTTACATCCTGGCTCCGTCCTTGCATCATATGCTTCTCTTTTTGTTCTTCCCATTTATTGTTCTGAGGTGGTTTCAGCCTACCACCAATTCGAATTAGTTGTTTTTTTTTTTTTGGGTAGCAGGCTTGATGCTCTTTTATCCACTAAAAGCCAATAAAAATGAAATGATTAGGTCATCAGTGACTTGAGGTGTCTGAATCATTTGTTTTATATACACCGTAAATTGATGAAATTTTGATCTAGTTTTAGTTTAATTTGTCACTGGAAATCAATATATAATTTATGCTGTTTGATTTCTTTCAGTAGGTCAAATGTTGATTTTTTGGGAACAAATAACTGAGGTGATTCAATATGTAGCTTTTGGGTGTTTTTTACCTGTTGATGTTAAGATGATTTCTCTTGTTGCCACAGTGCTGAAATGCTGGTCAATTTGGGTATTCCTTGGGTCATACTTGGTCATTCGGAGAGAAGACTTATTTTAAATGAATCAAATGAGGTAAATTATGGTACAACAACATAGTTATTACTTCTTATTTAGGTACATGCTCTGTAACACATCAATGACCATTGCTTCATATATGCTCGCTATCTATACCCCTATATTGATCTATCATCTGTTTTTATGTTCCTTTTTGTTTTCCTTTTCCTTTTGGCATGTCATTGCAGTTTGTTGGAGATAAAGTTGCGTATGCACTTTCTCAAGGCTTGAAGGTGATTGCTTGTGTTGGTGAGTCTCTTGAGCAGCGAGAGTCAGGATCTACAATGACTGTTGTTGCTGCACAAACCAAAGCAATTGCAGGTATAAATCTACTGGCTGAAAGCAAGTTGTGCATTCCTTAAGAAGTTTGGTGTTTAATTTTGGAAATTGGGTCCTAGAGTTGTTATAATGGATGCTTATTTTATCTTGCACTCGGGCTCTGGAGTTATTTTCATGGATGACATCTTCTGTTTAATTCTCTATTCACTATCATTAGTCACTGAAAAATAGAAGATTACTGCTACTTGTTTTGGTTCATACTTCCATTCAATTGTATATATGCTTGACATTCCCCTTCATTTTATTCTTAATGTCATTTTCTTCTGATAGTTCCATGTTTTTCTATGAATTTGTATTAAACTTTGACTGTTCTCTTCCAGATAAAGTATCAAACTGGTCAAATGTTGTTTTGGCTTATGAACCAGTTTGGGCCATCGGAACTGGGAAGGTCGCCACCCCTGCTCAGGCTCAGGAAGTAAGTTCTAGTCTATATTGGTTGCTGAATTCAGTTTTATGTTGTAGATCCGCTCATACGGGCAAAGCATATTCTGGTTTAACCTTTTTAGTAAGGCCATATATTGATGTATTGATTTAGGTCCAGTAAAAATTACTGTTAGGAGTTCAGAATGAAAATGTAGCAACTCTTTGTATTGGCATTTTAGTTCTCATATATGGTTGCAATTAAAAATTCTTTGTGTTTTCATCACTCTATGCATGACAGTAAAATTACTAATGAAACATTTTATTTTATTTTTCCTAGTTGATGCTCAATGATCCAATGGACCAATGTATATGGGTAACCACCCTGACCATTCAAAGGACCCATGAGCGAATTCATGTGTCCCCTTAAAATGTGCAGATGCATAATTTGATGTGCTCAGCCACTTCTACGCTGTTTTTGCTCACAATTTCTGATCCTGTTTCATTACATCCATATTTGTTTCATTTAATCCTTATCCATCCAGTTTCATTTAAGCCATCTTTAAATTATTATTAGTTCATTTTCTTAGTGTAATGCTGCATCAATCAATTTAAGCCATAATGCATTAACGGAAATGTTGTATATTTGTGGCAGGTCCACTTTGAATTGAGGAAATGGCTCAAAGACAATGCTGGGGCTGACGTTGCTGCATCAACCAGAATTATTTATGGAGGTATCTTTCTCCTTTTCGACAACGCTTATCTTGCAAATCCCTGTTTAACATCCTTTTGCCTTATCTTTTTTCTAAAAATGTGAATTAACAATTTGATTTTAATTCCTTTGATAAGTAAGGAATATGATCAATATCTATTTTGATGCAAGTTATTTTCAATTGAAGGCCTTTCTTTGATACTAAGAATTGACAGGGGCGTAAGAGATTTTATTGTAGAATTCTTGAAAATATTAGGCATTAACTCAGCACTAGCTTTCCGCCTATCATAGGAACAACTAAATGGTCTTTGGGCATATCATGGTGGGAATTTTATCACCATTGCCGCATGAGTTGCAACTTGCAAGTACTCACTACTTTACTGCCTAAATTTGCTATAACAATGTAATATAAGGCCAAAACCGTCCCACTGAGATGGCAAAGGCATCTGAAGGAGTGTGGTCAGTATGGTTTTCAATTTTTAATTTAATTTTTGTTAGATTGAAACTTCATTTAAATTGGTTTTCTTAACCTATTTTTTTTCTTCCAATTTTGACTAATGAGAATTAGTAGCCCTAATGCACCAAACCAAATCAAAGTTATGGAATCAGGTTGGTAAAAGATGGTTTTACCTTTCTAATATAAATTGTAGACATGAAGCATGACCTGGAAGAAACACCTTATTCATGTTACTAACCAGAAGAAGATAAACCAGAAGAAGATAAAAAATGTCTCTGTGAATGATTGCAATGGTTTGATATTTCAGTTGCTTTGGTCCACCTCAAATACATGCTTAAAATTGAATATGCCTTGGTTGTCTCTCAAAATTGTTAACCGAGTACCGGACTAGGGTTCCATACCGGTTAATTCTGGTTGGATTTGTTGGGGTCTCAGGTTGTGCAGGATTGAATTGCATTCAAAGTAATAATGAGGGTTACATCTATTACTGTTTCTTTATCCACCTCTACTGTGTTGGGAACTTGCAAATTAGGGAAGGGATGACAAGGGTTAATAAGTAAGGCTGGGTTCCACTGGATGCCCAGGGTTAGCAAGTATGCTGGTGTTCACTGGCACACTGTGTCTCTTTGAAAGTGAGGCTGGTTAATCGCATTTACTCTCCGTGATGCGTAGTCCATCTATAGGAAATTTAACTTATTGCCTCAACTTTCTAAAACTTAACATTTACCCTCCTGGTCTCTCTCTCTCTCTCTCTCATGTTAATGTTTGTTTCCTTAAATGACACTTGCAGGTTCTGTAAATGGAGCAAACTGCAAAGAACTGGCAACTCAGTCAGACGTGGATGGCTTTCTGGTTGGTGGAGCTTCCCTAAAGGTGGTGATTTATTGTTTGCCATTATTACATCTTATTACTATATGATTAATTGTTTTCAAATTTGGTGCTCTTGGCTTACACCTTTCCTTTGAATCAGCCCGAATTTATTGACATCATCAAGTCTGCCACAGTTAAGAAGTGATTGAACTTTGAAGCCAGGTATTCTGCAACCTTCCTCTAGCTTCCTCCTAAAAGGTGTTTGGGGTACTTGAGTTATAAATTGTGCGCGAGGTACTGTCCCTGAAACAAACATTAGCCCAGCTAGGTTCCAGATATAATAAATCAGGGTTTTCTTGCATTTTCTTTGCTTCATGTATTTGAATATGAGAATCTCTCTCTCCCTCTCTCTCTCAAAAAAAATTGTACTTGAATTGCGAACATGTTCGTACATGGGGCCATTTTGTTACTGATTCAAATCTTATTTTCAAGCTAGACTTGTCAAGATGTTCTTTGCTTGTGTTTTGTATCTTCTATTGGTTGATCCATCCTTGATACCCATTTCCTTTTAGAGTAAAAGGAAAAGAAAATGGATAAGAAAAAAAAACAAGATGAATACAGAGCACATTAACAGGTGGCTATTGTCTAATCTGTTTATTCTTTCAAAGCCTGCCACCCTTCCCTGACGTAGAATGAAAAATACCAAATCTGAAATGCTTTTGGCTTAGTTTGTTACAACTGCAATTGATTTATACGAAACATAGTTGACCAAATGCATTTGTAACTGTTGCAATCTTCTTCAGAAACACCTTTCATTCTTTGTTTGAAGTTTCAAGTTAATTTGGTAGACCGACAGTTCTGTGGTCATTTCAAATACTGATTATCTAGGATTCATGTGGCTTGACTACATGAAGCAGAATTGTAAAATCATTTCTGTGGTGACTACGGACTTGAGAGGCTGAGCCCTGTTCATAAATAGACTTTTTCCCCCTTGATTCTTAGTGCCAATTTCTCATTTGGTTAGAACTTTAAGACAAATTAATTAGGGTCTGGTTCTGAAGTTTTCCCAATGGACAAACAGATGAGGAGTTGGCAATAACTGTCATATTTTCTATTTAATTATGTTTTGTAAGTAGAGGATACAGGTCTAGTGAACTGTATGTAAATATGTGATCAATTGGGTCCATTGTGATGATGGCTGTAGTGGCTACCAATGCCACAGTCCAAATTAGGAAGAGCCTATGATGGTATGATTGCACCGGAGGAGACTTGGACACTTTGGCTTTTAGTAAATTAGAAACCTGAACAGCAGAAGATCTGTCTCTCTTTTCTGGAGATGGTGAGACCTTACATTACAGAGTTCAAGTGTTCATTTCTCTCTTCTCTAGTGGAAGACCACAAATGACCCAGGTTTGCCCTAGCTGATCGGGTCCGGGAGTGCTGTGTTTTCTTATTATTACTTGTTTGGCAAAACTTTGAAGTAACATTGTGCTTTCTGCATGCTGGTGCTGTGTGATTACTTCATCTCGCTTTTAATATGTCTTCCAAGTGAGGAAGACTTCTTTAAAGGGTTGTTGGCGTGCATCTTTTTAGTTGGAATGTGTCTGTCACTTGCATATATATCTCAAGTGAGGAGAGGACTGCTCTGAAGAGTTGTTTCTGTATATCTTTAGTGGTGCGTGTCTATGGTGAAATGCACCTATTCCAATCCCATGGTACTCTGTTTGGACAATGAAATTGCTTCATGCGACACTACTAGCAAAAGATCTTTTGATGAAATGTGATATCGTGTGGCTGAGTTTTTTCACTTTTTCAATTTGTAGTTAATTCATTAATACTCCTAGAGAACGTTCCCTTTTTTTCTGTTTGGTTAATGGGAAGAGAAAAGAAGCAGCAGACAACTTTACTGCCTTCCTTAGGAGAGAAGGGAAGGGATGGATGAAAATTTATGGAGGAAGGATAATTGTCATCCATCTTAATCTCTAATTGTCTCTTTTCTATCAACCGAAGGAACTTCCTTTCACCCATCTTCCTTTCTGCTTTACTATGTTTGGACCGTTTGGTTTGAGGGAAGAATTAAGGAGGGGATAAAAGAGTTTTTTCGTGTTTGACCAGAGAGAAGGGAAAAGAGGGAGGAAGCAAGGAGGGATTGTATTTTTCTATCCCCATAATTGGGAGAAGAGAAAAGAGAAAGAAAGAATAATTAATAATTCCCAAAATTGGGAGAAGAGAAAAGAGAAAGAAAGAATAATTAATAATTTTTATTTTTAACCGTCTCAAAGATTTGAAATTGATATCTAATTTTTTGAAAAAGGAATATAAAATCCTCTTTCCGTTTCCTTCCAACCTAATAAAACTTGGGATGCCTCTCCTTTCTATCCATTTTTCCATCCCTCCAACCAAAAAGGTAATACTCTCTTTATCTCAAAATAGTTGAGCAATTTGAGAAGTGCGGCTCACAAACAGTGCCAAGTATTTTGGAAGTAAAATTTCACCCTTCTTCCTTATAATTTGGGGTGATTGGTGGGGGGAAAACCGAAATCGTGTAATAAGGGTTTGAGGTGGTTGAAACAAAAACGTCCTTATAGTTGTAGTTGTCTAGCATTAAGTAAATCTAATCATATATTCTTGTCTCCAAAATGGGATGACTTTTGAAAGTCCCCTCTCAATCGAAACCATATTCATTATTACTATCATACACAATTCAGAGTGCTGTGATGTACGGTATGCCAATAATGCCCATGCACAATTCATTATGTCAACCAAAGTGCTCATACACGAATTAGTCAACCCACCTACCAAATATATTCATTAACTTTAAATTTGTTGAAAACAGCATTATGTGAACCAATAGCGCATTATGGAACCGCGTGTGAGAATTGAGAATTATTATTTTGCCTTTCACTAATGAAAACAATTAATTAATTAGTGCATCAATCCTATTCTTTCGAATATATTAAAAAGATACTTCTAGATGACCATTATTTGATACCAGTCTTTCTTATCCAGAGTATTTTAATTTATAGGAAAAGTTCAAAGCTGATCTAACTTTTCAAAATCGTACAGTTAATAGATACTTTTCAATCTTGAATGTGTAATTTAACGATAGTTTCTTGAGTTTATTTTTAAATAGTTAAAAAAACGTCATTTACTCCGTAATAAAGAAAAATACTTTTAAAGCCCAACACTCTGACCTCTATGCTAATGAAGTTGAAGTAATAAAGGCTTTTGACGACCTGAAATGGAATCTATGTTTAATTTCCGCTTTAGACCGTTAAAAGGCTTTGATGGTTTCGGCCTCAAGCATAGGTTAGAGTGCTATACTATTCAGCCATAATAGCAGAACTCTATAATAAATATTTTACTTCAGTAAAATAGTAAGGGCTCGTCACGAGAAAATTCTTGTAATAGCATTATTCTTTTTATAATTTCGGTGACTTTTTTAGGAGGACTAAATTTTCGATATTAATGAAAGTTTAATGCCTCTATGAAAGCATGAATCCTTTAATTAACGGGATTTCTGTTCTAGCACCATAAAATATGGATTGACTTTGTTTCACAAGACTAGGCATTACAATTGAAGGGGAATGATGTTTTACAATTACAGGTCAACAAAGTCTTTGCTTGAGCATTGGGGTTGACCAGGTTGAACCTTCCCAAAGCATTGCTTTGCCATAAATACAGAAGCAAGTTGGGCAAAGAATACAAGGTGTTGGTGTTATGATATTCCATCCCTATCATTGTCTCCTACTGGTTTATACTGTTTTTTATTCCATGTTTCATTCTCAAGTTTGCAATCTCAACTTCAAGGGTGGCCTAGTGGTAAAACAGAACAAGATGCAAAATTAAGGAGCATGTATTCTTAAATGCCTCACAGAAAATAAAATGGTTTTTTTCGTTTTTTTTATTCATGGTGTGCATTACAAATTTACAATGCTTTTACATATACGACCGTTTAAATATTTGAATTGAACATCATACATAAAGAAATTCTTTATTTTACAATTTATTTTGATTTATATTAGTTTTTATTGCATACGTGTGCTACTCTCTCTATATATAATATATTATAACACAGTTTAGAGGTTAATTTTAACATAATAATTGGTGGAGTATAGAAAAAGTCAATATATTAAGTTGGGCCGAAATTACTTTTCCGTGATCTTGGGTCTCTTATTGAGTTAGTTTGGTAGGTTGGAATAGAATGAAATAAAGTGAAATGAAATGCTTTTAAATTTATTTTTTTTGTTTGGAAAGTAATTTTAAAGAAGGAAAGTAATTTTAAAGAAGGAAAATAATCATTTCATTAAAATCATTTTATTTTCTAGGAAGAGAAATGAGCATTTCATTCCTTACTTAAAAAAATACTGGATAAAAATAATATTAAAAATCGTTTTACTTAAACTATCTGATTTGCTAACACACTTTTTTCAAACACCGATATCTAATAAAAGTCAACCTTTTCGTGATATTCCTTCCTTAATTTCTATATATATATCAAATATATTTATTTACGCACATATATATATTTATTTTATTTACATACATATATAGGTTAATTTTCTAAACAAAATATTAAGAATGGTAATTCAATTCCTATCTTATCTCATTCTTCCGTACCAAATCAGAATAGTAGTGGTCCAAAAATATATATATATATATATCTTTCTTAAGCACAATAGTAGTGGTCCAAAAATATCCCTTCGACGGCGCGAATTCCAAGTAGGCAGTCCACGGCTCACCAAAGAACTCGGCTCCTGACCGAGCCGAACAAAGTGGGTCCCAGTAGTTTGGACTACTGTGCTTGCATGTGCAATATATATCACTTACCGGTGCTGTTGGCATGGGTCCAACTTTTGGACCTCCATAGTCAACCTAATCCGATAATCACAGCTAAGATTTGATGGTTTTAAAACAAACATTAAAAAAGTTAGTATACAAATTGAACATTCCTGATTTCATCTGGTCTGGGTGTTACCCTGAGAGCGTCGGTGGGGGATCAAGGTTTTGACTACGCGACCCTCCTTGATCAAGCGCATACGTCACACCTTCAAAAAGTAAATTTTTGGATTTATATATATACACTCACACACCCCCACACAACACTAACAACTAGTGACATACACTTTCAACAAAATTCTCTGTACTAGGCCACTTTTTTTCTTTTCTTTTCTTTTTAAGTTAAATGTACTATTTTTTTCAAAATTCACATCTTTGTTTTAGCAAACAAAAACTAGCTTAACATTCAATTCACCTGTCATTTATTTTGTCTTTTAATACTTCAACATATCTTTTTTTCTTTTTTCTTTTTTCAAATGATAAATGACATGTAAACTTCACATTTCTCATTATTATAATTATACATTATTATCGACAAAATTGATCCACTTGCAATTTAAAATTCTGAATTCCAAATTTCCAAGTATACAGCTAGCCGAGCCATGTTACAGCTGAATACAGCGAGCCGAGCCATGCTTTTGAGTCATAGAAAGGTGTGTTGTTGGATTACATCCAACGGCTCACAATAACAGCAGCCTGTGCACAGGCTTATCTCTTCCTTCCAACTCAGTAGCACTTCACGGTTCACACAGAGAGAGTCTAGAGAGAGAAAGAGACCCGGAGTATATAAGGCTAAGGATCGTTGGGACCAGTCCACCATTAATGCAGTCTTCCCACACCCTTCCTCCTCTCTCCTCTACTTTCTCTCTCTAAAAATTTGTATATACTGTACTTTCGAGCTGTAGTAATAATGAACCATAGTTGTAGATAGATCCTCTCTTTCTCTCTAAAAAGCTTCGAGAGAGCTAAGCAGCTTCCAATCAAACCCATTCTATTTCTCTCTCTAAATTCGAAACCCAGAGCTGGAATTCGGCGTTGTATAAGGTGGCCAATTAAACTCCTTTATATTTTTAAATTGAATTTGTTCATTCGGTGATGAAAACCCAATAGCTTTTCACATAAAGAGGGAAAACAAAAGTTACTTTATACTCGCTTTTTCACACCCAGATCTGGTTTGGTTGGTTCTTTTTCTAGTTCTGTGCAGCTGATAAACCCTAACTTGTGGTGATCTTGTAGGGTCAGAGAGGTCTGGCGAAGGAAGTAATCAAAGAGGTATCTCTGATTTCTTCTTTACTTGGATAAGTGTTATGGGGATTTGCTTGAGTGCTCGAATCAAAGCTGAGAGTCCTTCTTACACAGGTACTGAGACTTCCTTTGTTGTTTGATTGTCAACCTAATGTGTGTGAGTTTTGATTTGTTGGGGGTGGTTTTGAGGTTTAAGAATTGCAATCTTTTGTATGTTACGTTCACGTATTTTAAGTTTGATGATTGATAGAATGCTTATTTGCGACTCACCCAAAATGAATGAATTGCTTGTTTGTGCTGGCCTAACAAATCAGCATCTTTTGTAGACTAATAATTGATAGAATTAATTGATCATGACTCTAATCTTCACATGCAGAAATGATTTTCTACAAAAATTTGTTTAGTAGATATGGGTATGTAATATAGAACCGTTAGAAAGGTATTTGTGTCTAGAATCTTGTTACTTGATTGTTTCTGAACCTAGAGTGTTTTTTATTTTATTTTTTTCCTCTTTAGAAAATGGGGGGTCAGAAAAATATATGTCAATGATTACAGTGGCATCTGGCATATATAGATATTCTACATTGGCTTGTGCAGGGGCAAATTCAAATCCAAAATATATTAGCACGGATGGGAATGATCTGAGTAGTTCAAGTAGCAAGGTCTCATCAGTTTCGGTGCCTGCAACTCCACGGAGCGAGGGTGAAATCTTGCAGTCGTCCAATGTGAAGAGCTTTAGTTTTGCTGATCTCAGAATGGCCACAAGGAACTTCCGTCCAGATAGTGTGTTGGGAGAAGGTGGTTTTGGTTCAGTTTTTAAGGGATGGATTGATGAGAACTCATTTACAGCTACGAAGCCAGGGACCGGCATGGTCATTGCCGTGAAAAGGCTTAACCTAGAAAGTTTCCAAGGTCACAGGGAGTGGTTGGTGAGTTATTCATCTATGGGTCGCTTAGAACTTGATGCATATTTGGACAATTGGCTCCATTTCTTGCTTTGGGCATTTATTATCATTATATTTTTATGAACAACCTGCAAATTCTTAGTGGGTTAATGTATAGTTGGCACCCTTCACCTTTGAGTCCTCTCCTAGGATTAAACCAGCTTGCTTGAAATGCCTACTTGGAAAAATCATCCAATGTACTCTATTTGTTCTGGCTCAATAACTGCAACTGATCTGCAATAGAATTTGCTACAACAAGATGCACACAATTACTTATTTTGTTTTATTTTTGTATCCCGTAGGCAGAAGTAAATTATCTGGGTCAGCTTTATCATCCTCATCTTGTGAAACTGATTGGGTACTGCTTGGAGGATGAGCACCGGCTTCTTGTGTACGAATTCATGCCTCGGGGCAGCTTGGAAAATCATCTGTTCAGGAGTGAGTTCTACTTATCCATCTCTGACCAATTCACAACCTAGAATGATTTTGATTGTTATAATGTGAATGACTCATGTTGTTGCTTTGTAACAGGAGGTTCTTACTTCCAACCTCTTTCTTGGAATCTCCGTTTGAAGGTTGCTCTAGGTGCTGCAAAGGGACTTGCTTTTCTTCATAGTGCTGAAACAAAAGTGATTTATCGGGACTTCAAAACTTCTAATATCTTGCTAGATTCGGTATGTCCTGTGAAGCAGATCTTTGTTACCCTCATTTGTTGGATTCCAGAAAGCTATACTTTGGCGAGGTTCTGATAACCAATTTTTGTTATTACAATGTCAGAACTACAATGCGAAGCTCTCTGATTTTGGGTTGGCCAAAGATGGGCCGACAGGCGATAAAAGCCATGTCTCAACCAGGGTCATGGGGACCTACGGATATGCTGCTCCAGAATACCTAGCTACCGGTATGTTCCAATTCATGTGGTGCTATTTCACATTTGAATGTCCATACTCCATGCGTAGTTTCCCAGTCATTTCTTTTTCCTCAGTAACCCATCTCGTATATTCCCTAATAATTTTCTTTTTCAATATTGGAATATAAAAAAGGAAACAGATATGGGCCAGTTTCTCATTTTTGTTGTACCACTGCCTCCTTATCGAAGCATCATTAAACTATTTTGGTGATTCAAATTTACTTTGGCCAACAACCTATTTCCTTTCCCCTACTTCCTCTTGGATCAGTTTTGGAGATAGGAGGTTCTGTCCAGCTTAATTTCTTGTTAATTAAATTGTCTTTCTTCTACTTCAGCTGTCAGGAGTCCTAATATGTGTATGAGAGTATTGGGGCAATGTCCCCTTTCAACCTCATAGAGGCCTAAGATTGAGTTAGAGTTTAGTGGATTGACCTATAGTTTTGATGTCACCTCTCTCTGACTTCATTCTTGGCCCACTATGATTTAAGGGTATCAGACTCGGGTAGATGCTGTAACCATTGGCAAAACCTTGAGGTTTCTCCATTATTAATTGCATAGCTGATATAGTTTCCTTATTAGATCATCACTTTTAATAACATTGCTGTCCTGCTCCAGTCATTCATTGTTGTTCCTTTATATGAGCATATGTACCCTCTGTTTAGAAGATATCCATTCTAACTTTCACCTATTCTAGGTCATTTGACTGCTAGAAGCGATGTATATAGTTTTGGAGTTGTTCTCCTTGAAATGTTATCTGGCCGAAGAGCAATGGACAAGAATAGACCATCTGGAGAACACAATCTGGTGGAATGGGCCAAGCCATACCTGGCCAACAAGCGTAAAGTGTTCCGCATCCTGGATAACCGTCTTGAAGGCCAGTACTCACTGGATGTAGCTCATAAGGCATCTAACCTCTCATTTCGGTGCTTATCTGTGGAGGCCAAGTTCAGGCCAACCATGGATGAGGTAGTGAAAGAATTGGAGCAGCTCCAGGATTTAAAGGAAACAGGAAATAGTCACAGCAATCCGAGCAGTGGAACAAGACCAAGGAGAAGAAGTGCAGATGATGTGTCCGATAGAAAGACTACTGTTGCTTATCCCAGGCCATCTGCTTCCCCACTTTATAGTAAATGAATAAAAAGAAAACTCGACAGAAGCTGATTTTCTTTGCATTTGAATATATTCCCGGTGGTTTGGCAACGGTATCAGGCTGAGACATTTGCCCGTATCTGTTCAATCACTGTACAGTTGCTTAGGCTAATACATGTTCAGATCAAACTATATGTCGACATGGTTTGAGGGTGAACTTTTAACACGATGAACGTCCGCAAAGTTGCATGTCTAGTGTGATTACCACAATGTTTGTGACACTAGGTAAAAGAGGCAAGTGCTTTTTTGCGAAATTAAAGTTGGCTCTTGTTCTACTAGGATCTTTTTCTCCCCCAAAGGTGGGTCTTTCATGTTTGACATGTATTGTTTTGTTTGTAATCAATGTAATATGTTATTTGTGTAATTTTTTTCTAGATAAGGGAAAGAAATTGTACTGTTGAAATCATGTGTTTGTATTCATCGAGGCTAGAAATGGCTAGGTAGTTGTGTATCGTGGATCTTTAGGATCACTACCAGTTGCATAGTGTCACCATTTCCACCATTTGAAATAAGTGGCCGAGAATATATTACATATGTATATAAATTTTAAATATTATTTTTAAAATACACTGTTGTCTCCCTTTCTCTCTCATGCTGTCTCCCTCTCTCTTTCTAAAAGGCAGTCTTTCTTTCTCTCTCTAAAAAGGAAGAAGGAAATAGTACCAATGGTAGTCTGAGACAAAGGCAAAGAAGAAGAAGTAAAGAACGGCGGTAAGGCAAAGAAGAAGAAGTAAAGAACGACTGTCTAAAGTGAAGAAGAAGAAGTGAAGATCGAAGGTCTGAGGCGAAGAAGAAGTGAAGATCGAAGGTCTGAGGCGAAGAAGAAGAATGAAAGAGGGAAGGTCTGAGGCGAACCAGAAGGGAAGAAGGAAGGTTTGAGTGTTAGGGTTTGAATTTCCAATAAACGAAAATAAAGAAGAATGGAAGGGAAAACGAAGAAAAAGGGAGAAGGTTTGAGGTTAGGTTGAAAAAGTTGGGATAAATTGGAAAGCACCTTATGAAAATGTTGAGATGCACCAGAACAGCATTGGGGCACTTTTACAAATAAGTTGGTTACAAATACGTTGGGATATATGTTACGAAAATGTTAAAAAATTGGGATACAGGTATAATTTTAGATTTTATTTTTAAGGAAATCCTCCTATTTTCAAAAGAATCTCTTACTTCAATTTGGAGAAGTCTAATATGACCTTCAATTTGGAAATAAAATCGTTTATTCTATTTTCCTATTTCCAAAAGAATCTCTTACTTCAATTTGGAGAAGTCTAATATGACCTTCAATTTGGAAATAAAATCGTTTATTCTATTTTGAAATAAAGCCCGCTTCTTGCTTCTATTTGGAAAGAAATCAAATTCTAAACCATGTTGATTGATATTTTGGGAGAGAAGAAGGGTAGCTGGGTGGCGGGATTTCAATCAAAATCTATTTGGAAAGAAATTACTAAATTCTAAACTAGGTTGATTGATATTTTGGGAGAGAAAAAGGGTTGGGTGGCGGGATTTCAATTTTATTTTAAATAGGTCGCTGAAATGAAGGAGGAAGGAAAGAAGAAAAAAAAGAAAGAAAGAAGAATATATTTGAACAATGTATATATATATCTATAAATTCGGTATAAAGTAAATATAATTTTTTACCCACCTAAATACTATTCATTCACAAAAATGGAACAAATGTTTGCACTATTTCAGGAGGTGATTATACAATGTTCATGAATCATCGTCATTGAGGATCACAAGTGATAAAATGGAAATGGAAAAAGGTGGAAAGAATAAAAAGTCTAGCCCCAATGGAAAAGGAAAAGGTGGAAAGAATTAAAAGTCTAGAACCAAGAGAAAGAAAGAAAAGAAAGTGAAACACAGGAAAAGTTTTAGTCTAGTTGCAGGAAAGCACAGGAAAAGTTTTAGTCCAGTTGCAGGAAGGGGTTCAGGTGGACACCTTATATTGTCTTTCCAAATGCCAAATGAATAAAAAATGATGACATAGAGGCCTATGTTTTTTTTTATTTATTTATTTATTTTTTTTATTTTTTTATTTTCGGAAGATATAGAGGCTTATGTTTTCTTGGAGTGAGAATATCACCTTCTCATGAAAAAAATATTGAATTATATTCCAAGTATTTAATATCAAATATGTGTTAATCAATGATCTAAGTGGCTCTTCCAAAGCCATAAATTATCCCACTAAGTCAAGAAAATAAAATATTTCTTATGACCTAAACCCAGTTTTGTTGACCTTTCTATTCGTTCGGCACCTACAATTTGGAAGAAAAATTGAAAACACTCCTCTGTGGTGTACTTGACCAAAATGTGTTGGGTAATATAATTTCATCTTTATCGAATGTCACTTATATTAAAAACATTCTTCTATGGTGTACTTAACCAAAATGTGTTGGGTAATATAATTTCATCTTTATCGAATGTCACTTATACCTTGCAAACTCTTTTTCTTTTTTTTTTTCCTAAAAGTAACAATATTATATAAGATATTTTGTTAAGTGATTGATTAGGCAAACTTTGGACAAGCTTCGTTGAAATTGGGCTGAGAAGATGGAAAAGGGAAATGGGTGGCGAAAGTGGGTCATCAAATTTATCAACCAAGGCAACTTCTAATTTAGGCAGTTCACCTAATAAAACCATGATGAGGACTGCCATTAACACACGATTGAACATTCAAACCACTCCCTTTGCTTTGTATTTGACGACGACGACTACTACTACTTCTTGTCACCAATTTCATGTTGTTAAAGGGACGGACACTGGAGATGACTGCCTTTTTGTTCACGGGTTTTGCTTGCTTCTTTGAAATATCAAACACGCAGTTGTTATACACAATTCACTTTATGATTATTATGAATATGGTAGAAAATTGATTGATCGTAGAATTCAACATTGGGGATGATATTTTGCACACAACATTTCAAAAGGGACTGAGATTTTGCTACGACTTAAGACAAGTTCGAGCATTAACCCAGCTCCTTAGCAGGGCTCAACATTACATCCATCCAAGTATATATACAAGCTCAGTAAAATGAGATTACTATACCTGAAATGGATCTAAATTACAAGCTATTAGACTTGGCAAAAATACAAATTACAAAGAAAAAATGAACACGTGGGATTTAATACCAATTGAGTGCAAATATGGGTGCCTCAAGATTCCAGCTTCTCACCCCTCTACTTACAGCTATCAACCAACTCATCACTGAGAGTAACAAGTAGCCTCCAACTGTCCAAGCTTATGGTCAAATTACTTATCATCTTCTTTTGAACATGATGCATTTATATGCCATTGCTGGGAAAATAGGGGTGTGGCATTTTACCATGTTTTTACTAACCCTGGCGTCCAATTTCTCCAATCCAACTTCCCGATGGATTTGTTCCTTAGGGTGATCATTTCTCTCAAATCAAAAACCTTCTTTCGATAATTGTTTCCCTGTTTGCCCGACTCAGCTTCTTCTACCACTTCCCCCGCATCTCTAGTTTCTTTGACGGGTTGGGGGACAATATCTCGTGATGACATCTCACTGATGATGTCTCCCAGAATATCAACCACCTCACTCATCTTAGGGCGGGATTTGGGCTGCTTCATGAGGCACTTGTTGGCCAGTGACACAAGTTTCTGAGCTGATCTAAGGCAGTATTGCCCTTCAAGTCGTGGATCTATTATAAGGTGGAACTTCTTTGAATCTGACACATAAGGTCTCACCCATTCCAACAGCTTCTGCTCACTTCGTGGTAAATTCCGCTCCAATGCTCGTCGCCCTGTTATGAGTTCATAGAGAACCACGCCAAAGCTCCACACATCACTTTTAGCAGTTAGCCTGCCAGTCTGAACATATTCAGGGGCGGCATAACCAACTGTACCAACAACCTAATAAAGAAGAATCTATCATTATCTAGGCAGGAGTCATAATCCATCATTCAACAGATTCCATTTAAGACGCACCATGTCAGACATATATTATTAGTCGGTGGCTGGCATTTACCCAGTACGCATGTGTTGTATTAGAGTTATAGAGTGTTATGACAAGCCCACCTACCAAGCTGTGAGAAAAGGAGGATTTTTTTTTTCTCTTCTTCTCTTTGTTTTTAATCTCCTTTTTGGAGCTTGTGTATTAAACCCCCAACGAGAGTTGCATACCCATATATTTTGTGTTAATTTTATGATATTCGTAGAAAAACAAACTCACTGATGTTGAGACGTGACTTAGTCCAGCAGCTGGACCCTGTCTGGCCAGTCCAAAGTCTGAGAGCTTTGCATTGAAGTCCTCATCAAGAAGAATGTTTGAAGTTTTGAAATCACGAAATATTAGCTGCACCAAATATAAAGCAGATCAAATATTACAATGAAATTTACAGTAGAGAAAACTAACCTAGTTGCTGCAGAATTAAGGGCTACATCATAAAAAAAGAAAAAGAATTGTAAAAGGAACTAAAGCTTCACCGTTATTCTTTCTTTTGTCTAGCAAATGCATACTCTGATCTCAGATTTATGTGTTCCATCTACAAGTCCATATTCTAAATTATTTTTATAGTGATAATAACAAAGGTAGACGCACTAGCATTTTAATTGGCAAGAAGATTGCTTTGGCATATAGACTATGAACATAACAAGTGCAGGGCTATAGTCCTCTTAGGCACTGACTAAAAATATATGTCTAACAATAATCAACAAGAAGACAATCACTGCTCAATGATTGAATAGGAATAGGCTATTATGAGTTTGAGCCTCGCATATCCTGTGAATCTGTGACCAACATAAATCAACACCTTGGTCAAGATAGTTTGGTATATGATGATAATTCCCTTCCCAAAGCATTACATTTATCAAGTTCTTCAATAAGAATATTCTCCAATGAAGGAATATAGCATGATATTGTAGTATAATAAAACTAAAACTTAGTGGTGGCAGACTAACTTCATTAAGGAGCATTCAGGATTTCATTTATCACTAGATTGAGAACCTCAATTAGTAATTTGGCTTTCTTGCCCATGCAGCTCTCTTCTCTCTTCTCAATCATCTAAACATTTCATCCAGCTTCCCAGCGAAGCAAAGGAAATATAGATTTTATTTGAAGTATATAACTTGACACTAAAATATATAGTGATATAAGTTGCTTTTATCATGTTCTATATTAGCAATCTCCGCCTACTACTTAAAGTATCCGATACCACTTCCTTTTTTTTCTTGGCGCGGCAGAATAAATGAGGCAATTGTAGTTCTTAATCTGAAATCCCGCTGCAACATGCTTGATTAATTATTTTGCGGTTATTGCATGAAAGAACAGTTGATGATAACGGAACAGTAGGGTTGGTACCAATAAAGATACTTCTGGAGAAAATGAATTTAAAGAAACATGAGTAGATAGATTCTTCTTTTATCTGGTATGCGAAAACTAAAAAGCATAATCCTCTCCCAGGCATTGAGACTAATGAAAAAGAACGTTAGAGACGGTCTCCAGTCATTTATTAGCAAACCTTTGTTGGACAGAATGTACATTATATTTTATACGCCCCCGTCAAGTTAGAATGAAGGCAATTAATATATCTTGCATGACCCCATCAAGTTGCAATACAGACAAAAAGACATGGAATGCAACATTATTTCCCAAATAAAAGTAGTTAATCACCCGTTGAATTGCAAAAATTTCATCAAGAAAGTTGGATTTATTAGGGGAAACAAAAACTAAATCGAGAAACAGTTGGACATACTAATAGTGATGAGCAGACGCTGATACTAAAGAATATCAAAATGTGTGAATTTGGAAACATTTAACATTGTAGAAGTTTTCTTAGTTCACAGCATCTATAATATATATTTTTTCTATTCCTTTCTTCTTCCTCTTTTCTTTTTTTTTCTCTTTCTTTTTTTAGAACCTTTTTATATGAGGTTGCAGCAACAAAAACAGATTCCTCTAGATGCATCTACACGCACAATGACACAAAGGCATATATCAGTCCTATAATTAATCAAGTCATAAACACGCCATATGTCAAACCAGAAATTATGATAACAATCAGTGAATTCCACCCGGAATGAGCAACTTCTGAACCATAATTCTAAATGCTAGAAAAAGAAAATTTGTATGAGGTGCATATGAAAGAAGAGAGTAGAACACCTGAAAATCCATTTCTTCGTGCAGATAAGCCAAACCTCGACCTGCATCTTGAGCAATTTTTAATCTTAGCGTCCACGTGAGAGGAGATGACATCCGCGCCAATAGATGGTCCTCCAGACTTCTATTATGCATAAGCTCATAAACTAAAAGTCGTTGAATACCTCTTTCATCGTCCTCTGCACAATATCCCACTAACTTCACAAGATTTGGGTGCTTGACTACACCCAAAAAATTTACTTCATTTATCCATTCCTTATGCCCCTGAACTAGAACGTAAAATTGTGAAACCTCGTCAGACCACCCAAAGTATAAAGTAATGTTTTTCAAGTAATGTTCTGAAAGTTCAATTGTGCAGTAAAAACTGTGTTTAATTCTTCATCAGTCTGTAATGGATAAACAAGATAATGAGAGTGCTATTAAAAGAACCTACCGACTGGTCCATTATGTGGTCAGTGACATGGATGAGTGATGATTTAATTAGCTATTTAACAACTCCAAAACATTCAAAATATTATATGCGGTATGAGAAAATAGTCCGTCATTGCAGGATAAAGTCATTGCTGTAGTTAACATAGGCAAGTAAATGTCCGTCTTATTGAAAAGCTAAAATCAGAGCATTTCTTTTTTAGCTGAATTCAGATGAGAAAGGTATCATATTCAGAGAATTTCCTTTTTAGCTGAATTCAGACTAGGAAATTATCATATTCAGAGCATTTCATTTTTAGCTGAATTCAGACGAGGAAATTATCATATTCACAAAGCTAGGAAGGCAGAACAACAATCCTTATCTAGGGGTGCACAAAAAACTGGTGGAACAAACAAACCGGACTGGTTAGTTTGGTCCATTTTGAACCATTATTTTACGTTTCGGTTCTGATTTCGGATCCTTCAGGACCAAATCGAACCGAACTGTTTACTGTATAGATATATAATAATTATATATTATATAATATATCTAATAGAAATTAGAAAATATATTTATATAATTTCATTTCCTAACCCTAACTCTCAGTCTCTTCTAATTTCCTCTCAGCCGCACCCACATCTCTCTCTCTTTCCTTCTCTCTGGTGAACAGGCTGTTGCCACTGCCATCAATCCTCCATCTGTTGCCCAGGCTAACACTGTCTTCCTTGCCACCGTCGATCTCCAACATCCTCTAAACCATCAATCTCGTTCTCGAGCCACTGCTATTCTTCTCTCTCTCTCTCTATACACTTCTTCGACTCCAAATTCTCTCTGTAAACATCACAGGAAAAATATTGTTGCTTCAGGTAACGCTGAAACCTCAGTTATCTTCTTAGTCTGGTTGGATTCTTCTTCAACATAATTCTTTTAAAAAAACAATTAAAGCATTTTCCATTTCCTCTCTCTTTCAAATCCTAATGTATCTTTTTTTTTGGTTGTTGTTTTCCTTGACTGCAATCGAATCGTGATTATTTTTTGCTTGCTTGTATGTCTATTAGGGAAAACGACTGGATTGAAAGAAATTTGAAGAATTTATTCAGGTCCTCTCTTTCTCTCTCTGTGGTGAACCGAGGAACCAAACAAATCCCTCACGGTCCATTTTGGTTCGGTTCGGTTCCATTAGTTCTCACGGTCCATTTTGGTTCCAAATTACTCCCAAACTGGTCCAATCCGAACCGTGTGCACCCCTATCCTTATGTGATTGTGACTCTGTGAGGTGGGGCATAGACTTCTGTAACAATCCCAAACCCTGAGGATGTGGTTTGACACCCGAGGAGTTTGAATAACTTACTTGCTCTTGATATAGATTTTGTTGGTTGATCATTGGGAATTGGGTCATTAAGTATTACCGGAGCTACCAGTTAAGGCCATGAATTTGATTTTGCAGATCCATGTCAATCCACAATTATACATCTGTAAATAACAGAATGGGGCATTTCAATTTCCATGGAAATTTAACACACACCGAAATGTAAAATAATAGCCCCTGTATGACACATTGATACCGAAACATCTAAGTCTGGAAAATACACACTCGACCTATAATCTGCCTACAAAATTATAGATCAAAGCATAATTCTTTATTATAATACAACCTAAGATCATATATTGCAAAGCAAATTAACCACGTATAACAAAACACTGAAACCTAAAAATTTACACCACCAGAAAAAATAAAAATAAAAATCCAAGTTTTACTCCGTATGCATCCACATGGGCTGATACTAATTAAAATCTAATTAAGCATATATATATATATATATATATATATATATATATATATATTCACACACATCATAATTTGATAGATATGTATGGATGGATGTAAATACATTATTGAACATGGAACAAAGGGCGTGCCTGGAATCCATTGCGATTCAACTGTTTGATTGCGACATCCATCTTCGAATCATGACTATTCTGATCATCATAGATCCTAACAACTCCTCTGTAAACACACCCAAATCCTCCCTCCCCGATCATCAAAGCTCGGCTGAACCCTTTCGTCGCCGATTTCAACTCGGCGAACGTGAATACCCGCAGATCATTAGCCCTCCGCTGAGACAAGAACTCGTAGAGCCCAACCGAGTCGGTGAAGTCCCTCGACTCCGAATCAAACTCGGACCGTCTCGTATCGAAACCGCTCGATGCTACACTCATCGACCGAGCCCACGACACCTTCGAAGCCCTGGAAACGATGACGTCTTCATCGTCCCTTGTCTCTCCGTTGGAGAAATGAAAGCACTTCATGTCTTGAGTGAATCGATAAACAGACAGTGATAAGCCCTAGAAATGGACATGGACAGTGGTGCGGAGGGAGAGAAGAAATTTTGTTGTTTTTAGATAGAGAAAGTGCGTAGAGATAAGAGTCAATAGGGATCGCCGAAACTTGGATTCGTGAATGTATTGGAAAATAAATTTAATCAGTAGAAAGCGAAATGTTGTATAAAATATTATGAATTAGATTGCGGTCTACAATATACAAAACAAAGAGAGCAGGTTTTCTTGGTTTGGACCATTGTTGCGGTGCAGCGTCTGCAGATAAACAGAGCCAGCATGTTTTTCTAGAGAGAGAGACTGTTTTAGAGAGAGTGTGGGTCACGAGGAGAGAGCGGGTCTGCAACTGGAGCGTGTATGACTCGATAAAGGGACCCTTGACACGAAAGCACGTGAGGGTTAGAGAGGGAATTTTAATTTGTTGGGCCCTAACTCATAATTTGAGTGTGTTTGAACTTTGAATATTTATTTATTTATTTATTTTTCGGAGAACTTTGAATACAAAAGAGTCATAAAAAGAGAACTTTGAATACAAAAGAGTCGTAAAAAGAGAGTTGTGTGTTTAATTCACAATTTTATTCCTTTAGGTTGTTTTTGAATATAAAATACTTTTTACAAAATGTTTTTTATTTTTTAATATTTAGTTATCTTAAAATATTTATAAAAAAAATTATAATTTCACAAAATAACTTATTCACCAATTTTAAACAAATTATTTTACATAAAAATAAAAAATAAAAAATATTTTATCTTAAAGAGAAAAAAATATCACATTTAAAAAGAGTGTTGTGTGTTTAATCTCACAATTTTCTTTTTTTAGATTGTTTGTTTGAATGTAAAATATTTTTTATTTTTTAGTATTTAATTATCTTAAAATATTTATAAAAAGTATTATAATTTAATAAAATAACTTATTCATCAATTTTTAATAAGTTATTGTACAAACCTCGTTCGATGGATACAATTTAGACCTAAACCTTTATCAAATATATATATATATATATATATATATATATATATATATATATATTTGATAAAGGTTTAGGTCTAAATTGTATCCATCGAACGAGGTTGTATATATTCTTTGAAAGAGAAAAAAAAAATTCAAAAAAAATATTATACGTCAAAACAAACGAAACCTTATTTTTTAAAAGAGATAGATTTAAAAACACAAACACTCGTTTACTTGGTATCATAATAGGTGTTCAACACGTGTATGACTAGCACATGGCTAAGACTCAAGACACGCTAGAGCATTTTGTAATTTTTTCTCTTAAATATAGAGTCGCAATATAATTAAAACATTTTATGTATATAATTTTGAAAAATAAAAACACCACTATCCAGCCATGATATTTGTGAGTCCGATATTTGTTTATTTGTTTTGTTTTTTTTTTTTTTAATTAATACTCACACACGCTTATTTGTTTAGAGACATAAATCTCTATTCTTTCTTTAGAAGGGAAAAGACTTATATAACTAAGTCACTAATCCATTGGTGAGTCAATTATTTGTACACGTAATAACATGCTATATTTATTAGCATATCTATGTCATGTTCATTTCTGTACAAAATTGGACAATTGAGTATTTCGTTTCAAAATTGTATTCTTTTCTTTAAAGGATAGGACCGAACACTCATCGCCGTGATTTGACTCATTAGTTGAATGAGTGGTCTAACAGAATTGCCAATGAATTATAGTAGTCAATATCTTCTAAAGAAGCTGAGTGTTGGAAACAAAAATATATATGTGCGTTTATTTGAACTTTTGAAACAGGAAGAAAAAAGTGATCCAAGAAAATCAAGTCCATACCTTGGTTTTGTTTTTTTAAGGGTATATTTGGTACGGTGGGTTTAAAGGGGGAGAATAACATTAGTTATAATGAAAGGATAATTTTAATCTCCTATGGCTAATTAATGAATAGAAAAAAAAAGAAAAAAAAAAAGAAAAGAATAATAATCGTGTTTAGAAAAAGAAATGAAAGAAAAGACAATAATTTTAATAAATTTATTATTGTGCACTTTTATATTTTAAAAGATATATATATATATATATATATATATATATATATATATTATATTGGCTCCTATATAATGGCCCATGGATAGGCCATCAGAAAAGGAAACCAAATTTTAGGGCAAATCATTTCAGATTTTAGGGCAAAACATTTCAGCCTCCGTCTCTATTCTCGTTCCCAACTCTGAACTTGACCCCTCCCTCCTTCTCTCTCTCTCTGCAACTGCAAACTACTACAAGAATTAGAAGTTCAAAACCCATATATTTCAATTTATATACTTGTCTACAAGAATCAAAGTTCAAAACCCACGGCATCATTTCAGATTGTTCAAAAAATCAAAACCCAAGCTTCAGCCGCTGGCCCTCTTTCTCTCAACTCTCAAGCTTGCCCCCGTCTCTCTCTCTCTACAACTACTAACTTGTAAGTATGGTGTAATCAAGGGCAAATTTTGCAACAAAAATCACACACCAAGCCTCGCCTTCCTTTTCCTTTCCTTTCCTCCCATTTTTAGGAAGTTAAGAAATCTACTGTTGAAGCCTTCTGTTAACCCTCCAAAACCTTCCCTTTTCAACCATTTGAGCCAAACATAAATTTTTAATCACCTTCCCTTCCCTTTCCTCCCTTTTCCATTGCACCAAACTGACTCTAAAAAAAGATCTTAAGAATGTTTCAACGTTCCGATCTAAAAGGTTGTCGGGGTTCTTGAATATATGTCAATAGTACAAATGATAGAGGGCGATATATAAATACAAGATACAATATAGCATTAACCAAAAGTCCCTCTTCTTTCATGCATCCAAGCTTATATTTATAGTCTCAGACCTTTACCAGAATCTCGAAGTCCCTCGAGACCCCTCCTAGTAGCCATCATGACCTTATAGGCTTTAATAGGGATATTCTGGTCTTTTGGTTCGAGGATAGGTACCATTACATTAAATGCACATCTTTTCGAAGGGGACAGTAGCTGGGATTCATTAATATGATTATCAGTGTTGCAGTCGAGGCATGTAGTATCATTGGTAATATCAGACTCGAGCCGAACCAAGTGACTCAGGGTGTGCTATGTGGCTCAGTGGGCTGCATCCCCTACAAATGTTATTATGTAACACTTAAGGCATTTCACTTTCAATCTAAATCTACATGTTAGTTTCCACAGTTTGTCCTAAAAGTTTAAGTTATAACGAGCCATATGTTTCGACTGTTTGAACCAAAAGTTGTAACACCCTTGTTGCGATTGGATCACTTTGTCTACCCGCGTGTTCATCCAGATGCCTCATAACTAAATTCTTGGTGTAATGCCAAATTAAATATTGAATCTAACTCCATACCAAAAATAACATATTGAGTGTTTTCTTTTCCAAACTAAAAATTTAAATTGTAAGGGTAACACAGTAACACTAAAAAAAACACACTCACAAATATATATATATATATATATATACTTTCATATTTTATAAAAAATATCACATTTAAAAACTGTGACTCACAAAATACTATCCACTTCAATAACGTAACATTCCATTCATAATAATTGCCACATTTCTGAAAGTGCGTGCTGACCGGGTCATGGGTGCGTTATAACTTAGTTGTCCATCCGGATGGGCTGTCCCTGTGAAAGCCCTTCTAGAATGTATGTTATTTTCTTTTATTTTTCTATTTTCAACAATAGAAATATTGAAAAACGTGTTTCGTTATTGTTAATTTAACTTTAGAAAAATCGAAGGAGAGTTTTAAAATAAAATTTGCAAAATGTGTGATAGGAAATATATAGATATTATAAAAAATAAAAATTTATTATGACCAAGGGTGTCATTATTTCAAAAAGAACCCACTGCCTTTCGCTTTCCTCACCAACTTCATTGACAAAGTTTTTGGTGTGACTTGAGTTTATTAGGTTAGGCTCTAGTTGTGATTACCAAATGTTTTTGTTTTTTTTTTCTTTTCTCCTTAAAAATTTTAACTTTTCTTAAATATTCTTTTCATTGCTATCTCAATTTCAACATGGATTTTAAATCAGTCTAATTTTTATAATTATGAAAAAGAATATAATAATAATTCCATAGCAACTTCAATATACAGAGTCATCTTATTCATTTATGTTTTAATTTCAACATGAGTTTGTTTCGATATATTTTTCTTTTATCAAAAATCTAAGTAACAAATGATACCTATAGAGTTGTCGGTTGTCTGCATAATTTTTTGAATTTCGTAATTCGAGATCAAAAAATCGTGAATTTAGGAATATATAAAAGAGTAGTTTTTAATAACATGTACAGATAATTTTTAACTACTTGTGACGAGTTTAAGGCAAGGTGAGTTTTGTTTTTCTCTTTTTATAGTCTATCCAAATTTATGCAAGAATTGCATGCTCAAGTTAATGCTAATGTGACCAAACTTAGAGTATTATACAACGATATATTACCTTTTATTTGTTTTTTTAATTACATATATTTAGATATACCACAACTATTATTATTTAATATTTTCTATAATGTCACAATATTCTAGGGGTGTTCAAAAAATCTGGTAAACCGAAAAATCGAATCGGACCATACTAAATTAGGCGGATTAGGCTAGTTATATAGCGGTTTGGTCCGGTCCTGGACCCAAAATTATGGAACTGTAATTTTTCGGTCCGGTCCTGGTTTAGGGTCGTGCTGGACCGTACCAGTCAGGACCGAACCATTACTATGTTATATAATAATATATATATATATATATATATATATTTATATATGTATATCATATCCTAAACCTAAATCAAGTAAAGTTCTCACGTGCCCCCTTTATTTCTTTTGTTCTTTAAATTCATTTTTTTAAAAGTCATACTTCCCTTTTCAAATATATCTCCATTTTCTTTCCTTTATTTCTTCTTAAAATTCTTTATTGTTATATCAATGTTAGTTGATTTTTTTTTTTTAAAAAAAAAAAAACTTTGTCCCCTCTAAATTAAAATAAAATAAAAAGGAAATCAATTGAAACCGACAAACCAAACCAAACCAAACCGGTTTTTCGTGGTTTGGTTTGGTTCTATGGACATTATGGTTCGGTCTGGTTTCAATAATAGTGGAACCGTTATAAATGGTTTGGTCCCAAAATACTCCCAATTCAATTCAAATCGGACCATGTGCACCCCTACAATATTCAACCGAATTAAGAGAGGGAGAAAAAAAAAAAAAAAAAAAAAAAAAAAAACCTCGCTAGTTATATAAAGTTTTATACAAAGATATAAGAGTTACATATTTATTTGTTTGGATATTCTATTTTCATTAACTCAAAACATATATCTCAAATTCGGTAAAGTTTTAGCAGAGTACATATA